CACACACACACACACACACACACACACACACACACACACACACACACACACCATGAGAGTAAAGGTTGTAGTCTGTGCAACACGTGGGTCAGGTTCTGGGGCTACAGGCGCCCTCTGCTGGTTTCTAAAGAAATGTTTCTGTGATTCAACAGGAAGGTAAACTGCAGGTTTCTGCACCCAGACACACACAGACACACACAGACACACACAGACACACACAGAACTGGCTTCATTGGGTCAGCTCAGCTCCTTCTCACTGAAAGCTTTAGAGGCTGCAGGGACCACCTGGCAGACTCTCAGAGACCCTGACAGACTGATAAATTGATGCTGCACGTGCTCTRCAGAAGAATCAGACTCACTGGTTTCTTCAGGAGTGTGGGCTTGGCTTCAGGCGTCAGAGACGGGATCCAGAAGCTGGGCAGACTCTGGCTGGAGCCGGCAGCTGCAGCAGCTGTGGAGGATTCACCGGAGCTGGCCTGGGACCCGCTCGTCTCACCGTCTTTGTTCTGCCCTGAAGAAGACACGTGTCCACATCGTTATTCCTCCAACAAACTCTTTACATGTGGTTAATGASACAGAGGGGATGCAGCTGTGGGACACGCACCAGTTGAGAAGGGGTTGATGGGTTTGGACACGATGCTGTTCTCACTGGTTTTAAACCTCTCTGCCCTCTGTCGCTCCTCAGATTTGGACTCCAGCTGGTTGTTGGTCTTCAGAGCTTGTTTCTGCTTCTCATACGCCTGCAGCAGAGCAAACATCAGAGCTGAACACATTCAAGAGCTGACAAAACCCCACCATCACTAAAGTCATGAACACAGCAGTTAAAGACCACCTGGGTGTTTCAGCAGGGCCTGCAGAGGACTGTGTTGGTTTACGTTTGTTTTCTATGAATTATCCAGGATTTAATTTAGACAAACATCTTTGGGATGAGTTCAACTGGCAAACATGATGCAAGACTTTCACGACTGARAGGATCTGCTACAGACAGCTTTGTGTCAGGGACCACTGCAGACCACCAGGGGTCTACCGTAGTCCACATCTGGACAGGATGGTGTGAGAATGACTAGCAACAGGCAGGCRGTCATATTGTTATGGCTGAAAGTTCAGTGAGCGCAGCGTTTAACACAAACTGCACTCTGAGCGTAGACTCTGTCAGTCCTTCACTTATTTGTTTATAAAGTAAAAACTCAACATGACGATGATACGATCTTTAAAATTATCATTTTTTATTATTCTACATTCACAACATCACATTAACAAAGGAAAAAATACAATTTAATAAATAAAAGATAAACTTATTTAGTATAAAAAATAAGTAAATCTTATTTGAACTGTCTGTCCTGCAGGTGAGCAGTCTGATCACAGCTAAATCAACAACAATGTGCAGAGAAGACTGTTTTTGTTGACGTAGTCAGACCGTACGGTGAATTCTTCTGAATCTGAGACAGAATTAACTGCTTACCTTCATCTTTTTAGCGATCTCTGTCTTCTGGTGAAGAATATATTCAAGGATGGCCTGTTTTTCATACAAGTATCCATGTGGGCTACAAACAACGAGACAAACAACAAACCTAATTGTTAGAATGTGGGTCCCAGTTTGTCTCTATAAATGACAGGAAACACAGAGCTCCATCATACATCCAACTTATCATGAAGTTCACTTGTTTCATGAAATGACAATAAAATCTGTCCAGTGACATTTTCTGGAAAAAAAAACTGTAAATTGAACATTTTCTTTTATTTGATTTTTTTTCTAAATGTACAAAGAAATGGAGTTGTACATGTCCTTGGAGACATTTTGTAAATTCTAATTTTTACATTTCTGTGTAGAAAGCTTCATGCTAGGTTTTGTGTTTATGTAAATKATGAATGAAAGCAGAAGTGAGCCGGCAGCTACAGCTGACTGGTGTTTCTGTACCACCACAGAAGGCAGCTGTTTGTGGCAAAAAAACAAAACCAAACCAAACAAAACAAAACAAAACAAAAAACAATGATTACTTTGGCTTTAAAACCTTTGATCAGAACTGAACCAGACCAGGACTTCAATTTGTCAGGGTCTTATAGAAATGCTTTATTCTGCTTGTTTGACACACGTCTTCTGGACCAGAGTTTCTATACCTGTTTTTAATTTCCTGTGAAAGGTTAGAAACGGACCGGACCAACATCTGAAATACGGTCAGCGATGGACCGGACCGTCAGCTACAGATGTTTCAGCTGTAAATAAATGAGGTTGACTGCACACCATTAGAGTATATTACATTTTGTTGAGGTTTGGATTTAAATTGTACAGTTAGATACAGGTCAAATCTCTTGAGAAATATTTTCCATAAAATATATATTAACTATAAAATATACATTAACTATAATAT